ACACACACACACACACACACACACACACACACACACACACACACACACCACATGGGAGAAAGGGACTAGATAGAGGAACAAACACAAAGAGAGATCAAGGCAGAAAGAAAGACACAGAGAGAGGAACCGAGACACAGGAACCGAGGGACACACGTGCGGAATAGAAGCTGGCAGAGAAAGAGAGCCATGCAGTCAATGCCAAAATGCCAATGACGCCCTCCCCAAGAACCGCAGACCCTCAGGGTGACCCCCAGAACTGCAGACGCGACCGCATCAGGCTCCTGGATTCTATCGGCGTTCAGGAAAAGAATGGCACCCAAGAAGACGCGGCTCCGACTGGTCGCCACCGCTCACCTGCCGTCCTCCCAGGGCAGCTGCGCCGCTTTCCTCCGGGAGGGCAACATCTTGGGGAGACACGGCTGGACATGGACCTCTTGCTCCCAGCCCGGCCGCCCGGCCTGCCCGACCTACGCGGCGTCTCCGCCTCCGCCCCGCCCCCTGGTCCGTCGGGTCCGTACCTCCGGCCGGACCGGCTGCACCCCAGCGCCGCTGCCTGAAGGTTCTGCTGCCAGGAGAAACACGCGGCTGGTCTCAGCTTCTTACTGTAGGCAGGGACCCGCTAGATGTCATTATAAAAAGGCAGCGCTCTCCCCTCATCCAGGTCAAAGGTCCCCAAAGGAGGTGGGCACAGCTGGAACTAGACGTGCACCTCCAGATCAGCACTTCTGGGATAAGGAGTATCTTCCTTCTTTTCCCCAGGGAAAGCTGGCAGCATCGCAGCATTCCTGTCAGCACATAAACTTGGAGCACCAGGAGATCCAGTTTAGGATTCAGAGCTGGGTTCGGTAGACTCACCAAACAGTTAGGAGCTGAGCGCTGAAGACTGACTGATTGCGATTCAAGCCCTCTCTGACAACTCAACTATGTTCTGAGGCAAGTCAACTTTTCTGGAACTGTTTCACCACTTGGGGATATAAATTGTCCATTAAAAAAAAAAGATTAATGTATATGTATACAGTGTTCTGCCTGCATGTGTCCCTGCAGGCCAAGAGGGCCCCAGATCTCATTAGGAGATGGTTGTGAGCTGCCCTGAGGATGCTGGGAATTGAACTCACGATGTCTGAAGAGCAGTCAGTACTCTTAACCACTGAGCCACCTCTCTCTCTCCAGCCCAAACTGTTCTCATTCTGTATGGTCATTGTAGAAAATGTAAACCGATTTGGTGCAGTGCCTGACACAGTCACCACTATATAAATGCTTTGTCCTGTATTTAATGAGAACTGAAACAATGAACAGGACACCGAGCTCCCTATCTGCCCAGTCTTTGTGTGAATATATCCACTCCATCACCTCTACCCATTGCCAGCTTTCGCCTGGAAAAGAGAGACAGTTACTGGACTTGACCTCTGCTCTTCAAGCAAAATTTAATATTCTAATAATTATCTATTAAGTCCTACATTGTGGCAGTCATTAATTTTTGTTTTGTTTTTCGAGATAGGCTTTCTCTGTAGCTTTGGAGCCTGTTGTCCTGGAACCGGCTCTTGTAGACCAGGCTGGCCTCATCTGCCTATCTCTGCCTCCCTGCTGGGATTAAAGGCCTGTGCCACCACCGCCCAGCCGGCAGTCATTGTTCTTAATTCTTTACTACTGTACCCTTTTATTCAGTCCTTATGAACAGGCGCTGTTTCCATTGTGAAGAGAGAATTGAGGCACAGGCTAATCAGGTGGCTTGTCTGCAAAATCTTTTCCCACCCACCATCTACAATCTCAAGCACATTGCTTCAGGATAGATCTCCACTATTGGTGAGAAGTCAGTTGTCTTTAACTCTTTCCCCTCTTAGGCCCTGACACAAGCAACACAACCCTTGCCCACCCTGTGGCTCTGTGCATCCTACCCCACAAACTCAGCATTCAGCTCTTGATGTGGCCGACCTTGAAAGCGGGGCTGACTTCCTGTGGAGACCAGTTAGGTAGGAGGAGCAGTGATACAAGGCCATGCGATCTCAGTAGCTCATGAAATTAAATTTTACATAAAATCCAAATGAACCTATTTTATATCACAGCATTCAGTCATATATCACATTGACATTGAACATCCTTGATATGATTATGGTAAGAATGTACTTCTGGGTCTTCCTTTCAAAAACTGAGAGAAAAATACCAGTAACCCCACAATTTGTTAATGGTTTTGACAAACTCATTACTATATGCCTGCTACAAGAAAACATGCAAGGGATAGAAAGCATGACGTTCACAGGTGGAGAGTGACCCTGGAATGTGAAGTCCTGTGTCCACTGCAAGAGGTTACTCTCTCTCTCTCTTTTTTATTTATTTTTAATTTTTTCATTTTCTTTTTTTTTAAAGATTTATTTATTACGTATAGTATTCTGCCTGCAAGCCAGAAGAGGGCGCCAGATCTTATTACAAATGGTTATGAGCTACCACGTGGTTGCTGGGAATTGAACTCAGGACTTCTGGAAGAGCAGCCAGTGCTCTTAACCTCTGAGCCATCTCCTCAGCCCCTAATTTTTTCATTTTCAAGACGGGATTTCTCTGTGTACTGGAACTCACTCTGTAGATGAAGTTGCCTTGAATTCAAAAGGTGTGCGCCACCACCACCCAGCAAGTCCATGTCATACCCGCTGAGAGTTAACTGTACACAGGACAATTTTTTCCTCTTTTTTTTTTTTTTTAAATTGGGAAACAAATGTAACAAACCCGAACTCATTGAAAATAAACTCAGTAACTAAGTGCAGGCTCCATCTCCAACCAGCACCAAAGTCTCTGCTTGGCTTATTGCCAGTTGCTCAAACCCCAGAAAAGAAAACTGTAAGACACCCAAGTCAACCTCTGGGCCCTTTTCCTGCATTGCAACCCCTCTACCCCACCCTTAAACCAACATCAGCAGGCTGGTCTACGCCAAAGGAAAGGGAAGCAAAGATCCTGGAATAATAAGCACTGATGCACACTGACCTGCTCAAAATCCCATGTAACAAAGGAAGACAGAAGGAAAATCTGCTTGCTGGCCCACCCACTCCCTCCCAATCCTACCCCAGAAAGCAGCCCCACATCCCTGATCAGTAACACTGAGAATCTAAGACACCAAGGGCATCACCAGCTCCTGAGTGATTACTGCAAAAGGTCCAGAGGTGGAGGTGGGGAAGGCTTGTCCCGCCCCCCCACCCCCGCTCAGCATTAGTCAGCCAAGTACTGTCCTCGGCTGGAGCCTGAGCAGTGAGGGCATGCTTGCAGTCCCTCTCCCTCCAGAACATCTATGGCTGAAAAACAGTCCTCCCACAGAGGAGCTGGTTCCAGGAGGTCCTTCCCAAGAGCCTGGAAGAAAGATTGCTTGCAAGGCTTGGGACAGCTACACCAACTTCTTGGCTTCAAAAAAACTCTTGAGGTGCCGCATCTGCCAGACACCAATGGCCACAAGGATGAGCGTTTGCAGGATGGACCACCACAACACTCGCTGGTTGGTGCTCTCGCTGGTTTGTCGGAAGCGCTCCTCCCGCCACTGTTGGGTAAACGAATAGTAAGTCTTAGTCCAGGACTGCTAGAACCACTGAGTTCCCAGCTTGCAAGGATGTCCCAGGGCCACCCATTCTGCAGGGACTACCTTCAGCATCAACAGTCAGGTGACTGCCAGCAGACTAATGCATTTCTCCTAAGTCTGTCTGTCCATCTGTCAGGTACAGTCCTCACTTGACCCTTCCTGACACCTAGAGAAGAAGTAAGGTGGTGGTGACAACCCCAAGGGACAGAGGTGTCCTGGAGTGCTCAGTGTGGACTTCTGTTCAGGTCTCTCAATCTGCTCCTTCAAGATCATATGTGTCATATATTCAGACTGCCAACTGGTGGGCTTGATATGTTTTGTTTGGTTTACACAACAGTTTTGTTGCTGTTGTTGTTGTTTTTGCTTGTATTATTTTTTGTCAAGATGTGGTCTCACTATATATCCCTGACTGGCCTGGAACTTATTATACAGCCCAGGCTGGCCTCAAACTGCAATTGATTCAACTTCTGCCTCTAGAATGCTGAGGTTAAAGGTGTGTGCTACCATGCCTGTCACCATACAGCATTTTGTCAACATTTAAAAATCAGGAAAATTTGCCAGGTAGTGTGGCACACACCTTGAATCCCAGTACTTGGGAGGCAGAGGCAGGTGGATCTCTGTGAACTCGAAAACAGCCTGGTCTACAGAGTGAGTTCCAGGACAGCCAGGGCTACACAGAGAAATCCAATCTTGAAAACTCAAAACAAACAAAACCTCCATACCTTTAGCTCTAGGGGGCGGAGTGGGGCGCTAGAAACTCAGGTTTGCATTTTCTGTAAGGAGGCCCTGGCAGCCACTATAGTTTTCCTTGTTTAGATGGGTCATGGTCCCACAACTCCTTAAGGTGACAGATTCATTCAAGGTACCTGTCTGGTACCTACTCACAAATAATTTAGAGGCTCTTGGTTCTGGCAGCACCTAGGACCTTTAAAACAGCACCCAAGGTGCTGGTATTAATTGCCAGGCTGTTCTTCTGTGTGTGACTGTGATTTAGTGTGGCTCAACTACAAGATGGATTCTGTAACAGCCACCCACCTTTCAGACCTGCACTCTGCCACAGGTAAGTCCCCTGGGATTCGATGGCTGAGCTGGCAGCAGCCCCTGAGCAGCTGGCCCCGCCCCGCCAAGCACTCACCCGCTGGTAGTTCTGCTCCTTCTGGATCTGCTCCACTTGCTCCACCAGCTGTCGCACTCTAAGCTGCAGCTCGCTCAGCTTGTCTTTGGCAGCAATTTCTGCATAGTCGTTCGCATGCTCACCTACTTGGATATCAAGGTGAACTCTCTGGGGATGGAAAAGCGAGATAAGGGAGTCAGGCAGTCCTGCTGCCTTTGAATGCCCGACTGGCAGCTGATCCCTCTACTTTCCTTCATTTTTTAATCATCTCACATACTGAGACCCCACTTGGAGCTGCGGGCATACATGTTAGGGCGCATGCTCTGACTAAAGCTCGCACAATTTGTTCTCTGTAAATGTGGCTTCTGCAGATCAGAAGTCCGTCAAAAAAGAAAACCACATACTTTAAAAATACATCTATTTGTACCAAGTATGGAGACTTTTCTGGTCGTTCTCTAAATTCAATATGAGATAGATAAACAGATACATAGATATCACAAAAATTTCATTAGGAATTACAAGTAATCTAGAGATGATAAAGTATACAGCAGGATATGTATGCATTGTATTAAAATACAATATTAGGATCCTAAGGAACAACTATACAAATTGACCAGTCACTATTGTCCTGTATGTGCACTGGAAATCCAATGGCTTTAAAAGACACAAAACCCAATACTCACCCCACCACTTATAGTACCAAAAGTCCCTGTCTTGATCCCTTGACCAAGCTGTACTGAACTTTAATCCCATAAGGATCCACTTACCAGCATGCCTCCAGCAAAGAGAGAGAACTTGGTAGAATTTGAGTGAAGAC